AGCCCGAGTCTACCCAAAGTCACGATCGTGACCGTACCTCGAAAGTACTCTAAATATAACGAGTGCACAGTGGCAGAAACTGAAGAGTTTTGCGATATTTGGCCTCTCCAGTCCTTTACCCAGACTGCCAGGCCGAGGTTTATATTTGGCGGAGGAGGTTGCGCACTTCTCTCTCTCTCTCTCTTCCTCCCTCTCGCTCTCTGTCTCTGCTTTTCTCTCTTCTTTTTCGAACACTTCCACTTCAGGATTTTTTTTCTTTCTGCTCGCACTCAAAATTAGAGGTGCTTAAAATTAGCGGACGAAAAGGGGGGATTTTCTCACTCTCTCTCTCTTTTTTTTTCGAAGACACGTGGTTAGCTGAAAATGCTCTCGCCAGAGAAAGAACACGGTAAAGTCGACGAGGAAGACGTCGAAGAAACGTAATCCGAGAGGCCACATCCGCATTACTTTTAAACCGCGTTTCACGCCACTCCGCTGTTTTTCCTCTCCGCCTCGTCTCGTTAAAATCATGTTCATTCTGCCGCGCCGTTCGAACGGAACCGAACTCGAAATAGAACGGTTCCATTGGGATAAGTGAGCAAAGTCTCGAACTTAACCAAAGCTTGGCCCCGATGCATTCGTCCGATGATAGCAAAGCGTGAATGCAAAACAGCTGTGTATACAACATATAAAATCCTACAGGGAAAGCTTCCATCTGCGATTGCGATAAATTAACACTGCCATGGTGGTCGTTGATAACCGACGTTATGAAAATCTTTTAGACGTTTATAAAAAATTAATATTGGGCAATATCAAATTTTAAATGACATAAGTAATTAGGTAACAGTGTGAGGTAAAAAGTACGGCGATAATTCAACAGTACCTACGAGGCTCTAGTCTTATTTAACATTGTACACAATATTATTATTATTATATGCCTAGCGTAATAAAAACTTTACTATAAGCCACCGTGTTAAGCACTTAGTCAATTTTTTCTTTAAAAAGTTACATGATTTAAAGTATCTTTAGTTAGAATTATTCGATATATGCTCGGAAGATCGTTGCTAAGCGACAGAATTAAATTTCTTACGAGTAGGTTCGAATTTGTTGGCATAGTTTTTCTTGGCGCGAAAAACAAGAGTATATTCAAATCTGAGTGAAATATATTTAAATCTTTTGCGAAAGAGATCAGTCGAAATATTTTAGTAGAAGCAAATAAAAATTTGGCAGATTCAAAGAAACATGATTTCAACGTATCTCATTTATTTAACTTAAATAAATCTATTTTTCGAATGTGTAAAAGATTCGATTCTTCAAGTTAGAAACCACTTACGAGTACATTTTGTATCCTACAGGCATTCGTTTTAAACTTCGAAACCAACTAATCAGGATTAATTGTTTCACACAACGTATGAAATATTATTTCTTATGAATATTACTGGAATCCTAGAAAACGACACTTGATTACTGCACTTGACTCGTATTTTTAAGTACATGTTGCACTTGATTCCATACCCAATCGTTATGCGAATCATAATTAACTGGCGACCGATAATGGCCCCCAATTCGACCGCTCGATCGGGATCGGCTGATTACGCCGTGTCACTTCGCAGCGGCATCTGATAACTAAATCGCACCGATGCTCCTGATGTCGCGTATCGCTCGTATGCGGCACACGTGCATTTAGCGGAGCGAACGAGGCGCGTGGTAACGTAATCCCGCCTCGCGTCGCTGATCGATAAAGCTATCGCAGGTAGCACGAGGATAGTGTTATTCCGTCGGGAGGTCATAATGTATATCGATCTGACGACCGATCGCGTGCGCGCCTTCAAAACTCGATCGAGTTCTCCCGATCGAATGTTTGCCGAGAACGGCGAGTTTTTTTTTTCCAACACACTTCTCTCTATCTTCGATAATAATCGATGCCCAGCCAAATGCATTCTCGCAAAAGTACATTTGCAGTTTGCGCGTTAAGGGGATCCTAAAGCCGTCTGTTTGAACGACATTCTTTGTTAGGAGTAATCTTTTAATTGGCTTTGCATAGAAATGCAAAGCTCTTTTACGAAATTAAAGTACGCAGCAAAATCTAGACTATGCTTGTCGACTTTATGTAAAAAACGAAAAAGAATTGAAAACTTTACTCATTTTTGGTACGCTTGACGACAATATTTGCTTGATACAAGAATTCTACAGTAAATATATACAAAATGAGACCAGCATACTCTAGGGACAACATAGAAGAACAATATCGTGCGATTAGAACTACGATTAATAGCTGCTAGAAAAAAAAGATTACTTCTAATAAACGCAAGTCCAGAAATCCATGGTAGAAGAAGAGAAAAAGAGTAGTACGGCGTGTAGAAATAGTTGCAGGCTTTTTTGAGAGAGGTTGCTGTCAAACATCTGTCAGATTGTCAGTAAGCCATCGTGTTGACGATTGCTGCTTTTTCGTAAAAGTTGCAAATTGATTGACTATAAATTTCTGAGACCGATTAGAACTTGGAATTAAAAATGTCGCTAATTGACGTTTTTAATTTCGTCTCCTATCTTATCGACACTAATCGAGTTTGCCAGCAGCTTTAGGATCCCTTTAAAGAGAGGAAAAGAGAGAAACACGCGAAAAGAAGTCCGATATAAACCTCGCGCTAGTGATTGGGAATTGAATTTAGATTACACCTAAGTGCTCGACGCGAGTAGGCCGCGATCTTCCCTAATGAAGACCCGGTGAAAACGCGCTTTTATGCGCGACCGCGTTTACGCGGCTGGAGAAATCCGCGAGGTGCTCGACGCTCGCCGACCATATCGCAGGAGCAATAGCGCTTAACTGCACGCGGCTAATCGCGAGTGGAGAACGCCGCTTTTCTTCTTCCATTAGAATAACCGAGAAACGTTGTACATCCTCCGGAGGCGAGAAAGAAAGCGCGAAGTGTTTTACGTCGGCCGTGCAGCGAGATAAACCTGGTACCGGGTCGTCGCGAGAGTGTCGCCGAGTGTCATTAATGCCTTGTCGAATAAGCTATTAATTATCCGGCCGATGTGTTTCCGCGCGCGTGGGCCCGAGACGCTTAGAATTACGCGTATTATCGGCATCGCGGGGCGAGTGCCGAGTAACTCGTATCGAGTAACAGTCGATATCCGACCGGTCGGCGTCCGCAGGATCTCTGCGTGGGTGCACTCGGTGTACGGTGACACGTGGACGTATATCGTTTCCGTTTCTCCAGTCGGCGTATAGGATCGTCGTACCGTTCGACCTACTCGCCTCGATCTCTCTACGTTTGCGACACGCGCGCGCGGCTTCTTGTCGGTCGTGACTTCTTCCTCCCAGAGCGATTGATCGTGTGTTCGCCGCGAAGGACAGAGAGAGAAAGAGAGAGAGAGATAGAGATATATATATATATACATATATATATGAGCAATACGAGGCAATCAACGTCGCCGGCCACGAAAACGAGCAATCGAACACCTACATTGGTGACTGATAAACAAGTAGTCAATAACGCTCGGCGACATCAACTGGGCGGGAGTTGGTGTGGGGGGGGTATCGACGTTCTGCATTGCGCTTTCCCTCGGATTCGGGATTAATAATAATATTGGATATTGATACTGGACACGTACACGTGCAAGCAGTATTACAGCATTTAATTGTTAAATGCAAACAAAGGTGTCTAATTAAGGGAATCCACTTCTACTTCTTAGCAGTGAACAATATTCTAGCTGTGTACTAGAGGAGTAATACTCCTCAGTCCATAATTATGTGCAATAATCAGTTTCGGTGAAAATGTTGACCGCATACTAAGGGAGAACAATTTTCACGATCTGCACACGGTCCTGAAAAAAACTGGACTGCTTAATCAAGAGAGGTAAAGTCGTCGACGATGTTGAACAAAAAACTGAATTGGTGTATCAGATCAAGTGTGCCCAATGTGATATATCATATGTTGGACAAACGGCATCTACAGACTAGAATTAAGGAACATCAAGGAAATATTACATACTCGAGCAGCAACCACTCGGTGATTACTAACCATCGCCTTACAAAAGATCATAATTTCAATTGGCTTGAGCCTTCAGTACTATGTCAATATTCATCGAAGTATCTCGTAGATCAAACCTCGGATGAATTAATAAACAGGAAGAGGTTGATATGGAAATATCGACGTTCCTTCCCATTGGGTTGGTGATTAATAATATAATCTTGAATATCAATGCTGAGCGCAAGGTAGCACTTGATTATTGAACGCGAACGAAGGTGTCCAATTAAAAGGATAAAATTAAGAGAAGATCCACCGTTTCTTCTTGACAAACGATATTCCAGTTGCCAGTGTTTGCTGTTATCTAAATAAAATTATATAGATGATTATCTAGATGAAATTTTAGCGTTATCTTATCTTTATATAGATAATGAAAATAAGTATTATCTATATCTGCATCTTAGATGAAAGAAAGTGTTATTTTTACTAAATTATCTAAGATAACGTACAGATAATTTGGTTTAGGGCCACATAAGGTTAGCCACAAAAATACTTAACAGTTACACTATTTAAATATGGATGGCGTTGTAGACCATGCATTTATGTATGTGTCATATAACTTAACCTGAATATATTCAGGTTATGAACTATAGAATATAGAATATAGAATATATTCTACATATATCCTATAGAATATAGAATATACACTATAGAATATAGAATATATTCTATATCCCCCTTTATAATTTAAATTTTTCTATAATTTTTTTATAACTTTTTCTACTGTGTTTACATGAAGTCTTAAAAATATTATCTGCAAATTATCTAGATAAATCATCATATGATTTTATCTTTTATCTAGATATATTAAAAACAAAATCATCTTTATCTTATCTAAGATAAATTTATATATTTTTATCTTATCTTTGTCTAGCTAATTTTAAAATCATCTATGCACAACACTGCCAGTTGCATATTAGTTACTTTGTACATCAACACCCCGTGTCGCTCTTTCAGGCGAATTAATGAACGTTCGTAATTTCATTGCAGACACCGAGAGATGACAGGACGACATCGAGCCCCGGTGGCACGGCTGGCAATCACACCTCGGCGCTCTCGCCCTCGCCGGTCGGCGACGCGCCCTTGGGTAGGGCGCTGATGGAAGCGGCCCTGCAGCAGCATGCCGCGACCGGTGTCCAGCCGCCTCTGGTCGTCACGCCACCCGGGTACTGGGTCGACGGTACCGATCATCGGCACACCCTCGATTCCGCCGGCAGGGCACTGTTGCCGGCGCAGCCAGCCTGGCAGCCCAGGATAGACCAGGACGACACAGCCAAGTGCTATCGCCGCTTCTTCGTCGGCAGGGTGAGTGTCGTTGCGGTGGTTGAGTGTTCAGTTTGTCCCCCCAGAACCCTCCCAATTGCGCCGGAGGTAGACTACCGCGGAGGTTTTAGCCGGTAAGAGCCCATAAGGGGTGTCCTATGAAGGGCTTTCTCCTGCATTATCAAAAAAGGTGTATCTCATTGCCGTCGACGGCCTGTACCTAACGTCGGGATATCGCGTCATCTTTTCACGAAGACGAGAGACAGCCGGGGCAACCGAGAAACGGAGAGTGATTCAGAAAGACGTGATATAACGCGCGCGAAAGAATTTGAAACGCTAGCGCGGGACTCTGTCCCACTTGCATCTCTGTGATCTTGAGCTAAATATAGATACACGAAGAATATACGGCGGTCTAGATAATTTACGCGTGACAGAAGCGCGATAAAATCGTGGATGTTTGTCAACATCTGCAGACGTCTATAGGCGTGTTAGTCGAACGCGGTGCGTCTGCTCCGAGGTCTAATAGTCTCGGAAATATCAACCGCGTACATATATTCCCACAGCCATTTCTACATTTCGTATCTCCCCCTCCCCCTCCCCCCCCCCCACCGTCCCTTCTCGAACGATTCCCCCCTAACTTATCCGATTCGTCATCGGGATCAGGGCGTCACGCGGACATTATTCCGCCCCTGCAACCATATTCGAGCGCAAGAACCGTGATGAACCGCGATCGCTCAACCGACGTACGTACGTACATACGTACGTAGGTGTAAGCGAGGGTAGGAGGAGGACGCGTGCACGGAGGAGACGGAGATAACGAGAGGGAGAAAAGGAAGAGTCGCGGCGTGGGAGGGAAAGGAGGTGGTACGTAGGAAAAGGAAAAGAGCACTTTGGACGTGGGAGTGGGAACGTTCTCATAGCTCGCACGAAAGTCCGATATGCCTGGAACTAAGAGGGAATCCCTCCTCTCCTCCTCTCCCCCTTCTCCCCTGATATTCATCCATCGCCGGTCGTTTTCGCGATCCCTACCCGCGATTTTCTTCCGCCTCCGCGCTTCTGCCGCCCTTTTTTTTCACCCTCTCGTCCACCTCTCTCAGTTATCTCCCTCGCTCCGTCCCTTTCGTCGTATCACGACACGGCCAGAATTTTTCCTCGAAAATGACGAGAGACGCGATTCGCTCACGAAAGGCTCTCTGTAGTATAGTAATAAGGGATGTATCTTCTGGAAGGTAGGCACTAAGACGCGCCAGTTATTAATTTTTTGACGGGGAAAATTAACGGGCGAGGAATGGATCAGGGATTCGAACCTAGAACCTAGAACCTTCTGCTAACTGCTCTTTCTACTGAGCTATCCAGGTCCATGCTCGATACTTCTCTCACTTGTATATTTCAGCGGTTTGGCAGCGCCAAGTTTTTTTTAATAAACAATAATGTCGTGAATCAGTCGTGACCGATAGGTATTCAATAATTAAATTAGAAAAGGCCATCTTTAAATAAAATGTTTATTTGTATTAAAGTTGTTTGCATTATATTTTTATTGAATGAGTATTAATTTGTCTCATTAATATTACTGTCTTCTTTATTTCTTTCGGTAAAATCTTATGCTCGATTGTTTGGATATAACATGTTAAAGTAATAAAGTATCTTGTTTGTATAAAGATCCATTTTAGTTGGCGCAATTTAATGATATCATTACTTTTGTAGAGAAGATAAAAATGTTTTTTTTAAAATAAAATATTCAAATAATTAAATTATATAATTCTTGAGATTAGATGGCGCTTATACTTGGCACCTTTTGTTTATCTTTTTTTAAAAAAAAGGTTATTTTTAAAGGTAATTTTATTTTACTGATCAACTAAAGAGTACGCGCGAAAAACGGATACGTCGACGATGGGGATCCGCGATTACGGAATTGCTAAAACTGCGTAGGAAATGGGCAAAGGATGTACCAGGATGTGTGATAGGTGCAACGAATTCTCCCATCGAGCAAAAATTGTCATTATTACTGTTAATTGGGTTCGCTATTATCACAACGTTCTTTACGTTATTATTACATACAATTAGTTTTGCTGCAAGTATTTTGGAATGTTACATATCTGCTTGGAAGGTCGACTAATTAGCGATTAGTTGAGTGCGAAAGAAAAAGAGCGCATTATTTTCCGCTTCCGGCACCGCAGGCAGTTTTTCTAGATAAGACTCGACGGATGAGTTCCCGTTCCGCCTATTGTTACCTGACGGCGTTACCTTTTGCGCGGATCGCGCTTGTTTTTTCTGACTTCGCAACGCGAACGCTTGAAATCCTTAATTTTGTGAAGTAACGTTTTACGATAATCCGCGCGGAACACACCGTGTAAATCTGAAATTAAACTCATGAAAATGCTACGAGTAACGCGAGCGCGATGTTATAAACGTTAAAAGCGCGTCTCCCCATGTTGACGCACGATAATTGAAATTCAGCAAGCGTACGCCGTTTTAATTTCCGAATTTTCCTGCTCCACAATCTTGGTAAAATATTCCGTAGAAAAGCGGCTAAGTCTCGCGCAAAATTCTCTTTACTCTGCTAATCCCATAAGAAATTCTTTTTAATAAAGTCTTTAACTTGTTTCCAACAACTTTACGGCGTCCCTTTCGAAGCTTGTTGGTCCTGTGAACAGTTTAATTTTCACCGTGGGTAGTTTGTTAACCCTTGCTCGCAAAAATTTTTTTAATGGGATGAAAACCTAACAATATAAAACGTTTTTAGGTAAAAAACTATTTTTGCTAATTGTGAAAGATAATGAGTGCGTTCCGGCAAGACACTGCTACTATAGCGCCACGGTAGCGCTACACGAGTGCATTTCGGCAAAACTTTGCGCTACAACCGTAGCGGTCGCCATTCTTCATAATTACTCAAGGATTGCTGGGAACAATATGTCATTCATGAGCCAAACTTTAATTTTTTCCATTCTATTCCTTTCAATTAATTGATAAACGCGACTCTTACCATTAAAATACAATCTTGAGGTTATGCACGCTAATGTAAGTATGGCGCCGCTACAATTTCCCTATCTAAAAAAGGTGTTGCGAGTTCATTGTTGTCGCTTTTCCGCGATGCCGATTGGCTCTCTCGAAACTCGATCGAGTTTCGATCTTGTTGCGAGTCGTTCACTTCGACTTGCGGTTTCGACAGTTTGTATTTAAGAGGGTTATTTTGACAGTTTATGTAATATAATGTGGAAGAACAATGGTCCCTATCTAAAAAAGGTGTTGCGAGTTCATTGTTGTCGCTTTTCCGCGATGCCGATTGGCTCTCTCGAAACTCGATCGAGTTTCGATCTTGTTGCGAGTCGTTCTCTTCGACTCGCGGTTTTGACAGTTTGTATTTAAGAGGGTTATTTTGACAGTTTATGTCTCGATCTCGTTACGAGTCGTTCACTTCGACTTGTGGTTTCGACAGTTTGTATTTAAGAGGGTTATTTTGACAGTTTATGTAATATAATGTGGAAGAACAATGGCGCGCGCGAAGCGCGCGCTTGTGTTGTTCTAGTGTAGCAAAAAAGCCGTAGCGCTACGGTAGCAGTGTCTTGCCGGAACGCACTCGATGACAATTTCCTGTGAACAAAAGTTGGTGTAGGAGTTAAATTAATTTGTGATAAAAACGACGTTTTAAAACAGGGTTACTTCGGTTTTTGTAATTCAATGATATTTTTTGCTATTCTTTATTTCTTAAATTTTGTAAAAGTTAAGAAAACTCTCAAGCATGGTCTTAAGCTTTTACTGTTTCCACTTTTGTTGGTTTTGGATCAAACATGAGAATGGCAAAAAAATGGCTATTCTTTTTAACTCTATCATAAACATCTGCTCGATTGTTGATTGTTGTAACTTCAATAGAGGGATATTTATGATAAGACATTCTGGGATGGGTCGCCACTTCCTTCCGAGAGGTGTCGATCGAGTAAAACCCAGCGATTTTTTTCACTTGGATCTTCAGCTCGTCAAGACACGGAATTGTTTAACTGTTTCCTACATTTCTCTCGTACTTCCTAGGGAAAACAGAATAATTCCGAACGGAATTCATTCCGAGAAGTTAAGTTCCATAATACGTGCCCGGAACAGCGCGCGCAACTCTCTGCCACGATCGGGGCACGTAAGAAATTCGGCGGAGAAAACATGATGTGAGTGCAACAGTCGCTTTGTTACGACACATTAGCGCAAACCGGATCCGATCTGAGGATTCGATCCGTCAAAATTGAATCCCTTGCGATCTCGACGATCGCGAGGTCCGGTTTTCTCGCGTCCTCGCGTCGTCGAAAGAAACAGCGCGGCGTGAACACGCACCTTCGCCGGCGCTGCGATACACCGGTATCGCGTGTTATGCCGTCGTTAATGCCGTTTGTTACGCGCATCAAGAAAAGAGAAGCGGCTGGGTCGCTCACGTGGAAGTGAGAGAGAGAGAGAGAGACAGGCGATCACTTGCGGAAGATAAGAACGGCGCGCGAGTAATTCGAACCGTAACAGCGCGAACGGTTGTACACCTCGGAGCTGATCATAACGGCTAACGATATCAATCGAGAGATTGGAGAACAAAGGAGCGCGGAGAACGGAGTAAAAGCCCGTTGCTCACAATGGGAGGGCGCGCCGTCTTAGAGTTGGCACAATGGCAGGTTGGACGATATTTTCTTGCCATTTGAGGCACGGATCTAGCCCGATAAGCAACGAGAGCCGTGGGTACCTATAGGCGTTTCGATAAGAATTAATGCGCGCGCGAACATATAAACCGCGACACAATAAAATTCCCAAATCGGAGTAAAAGCAATCTAAAGGGAGTTACATAAGGCGCTACCGCTTTTACAATTTACATCGAGCTGTCTCTTGGTGTCCGCTGTGTAATTTTTATGAATTTCAACGCGCGATCTAGTCTGCAGATCTCAATTTCAATTTGCGATTAATTTAACGGCCAGTTTAATTATAATTCGCAAATAAATCCCGTCGAAATCCGCCGCTGGACAGTTAAACGTACGCCCGATATTATTACGTTTAACAATTTAATAGTCACGCCGTCGCGTTATTAATGTTGCAGCAATAATGACAGTGGTGGTAATAAACGCACGTACAATAACTCGACGGCATGAACTCCTGTGAACCCCGGGCACGTTGCCCTTTCTAACTCCCTCCACCATTTCCATCCGAAGGTTAGTAAAACACCGGCGCGGGTAGGAAGGGAGTAGTGTGTGCACGCGTGTGCATTTCACCGTGCACACGCCATTCTGCGCGCGACCCGACCTTTTCATGCGTCTCTTCCTAAGCCTCTCTCGGCATTTTTGCTCGCGTGCAGCGCAACGGCGGTGCACCATTTTTATTCCACCGCATCGCGCCGTTGCCCGGCCGGCTATCGCGCGGCTTCGCTAAAACGGTAGGAAGCGTTCGTCGCTCGCAGCCGTGCCCTCGCGGCTGTCCGTGATCGAGAAACCCCGAAGAAACCCCCGAGGATCTCCTCGGCGTTTCCCTCCCTCGCGTCGAGCAAGCCACCACGCGGTCACGCGCGGAATCGTGCGGTCGCGCGTTTCCCAGATGAATAATTAAATATGAGGAAACGTGGATAAATTCAAACGGGGCCGGCGTTCGTACGTGAAACGAGATAGCAGAATAGGTCGGCGTTTACTTGGACGCTTTTTATCTTGACGTCTCTCAATTTTTCCTCGCGCAACATTGCCGCAATTTTCCATGAGCTGAATTGCCCCAACGATTGCAAAAATATAAACAATATATATATATATTTGTAGTTAATATTTTTTAATTTCTAAAAAGGCTTTCGAGATTTTGTTGAAAAATTTGCCAATTTGAAGTATCGTGTAATGAGTGAAATGATGCTTGAGTATCGTCTGTATCATTCGGTAATTAGGATATGATTTGTTTTTCAATTCAGTAACTGGTACCACGCGCGTGGCGTTACTTGACATTTTATTAAACTTATAATTGCTATTCGTCGATTATTGTACTTCCTATTATTTTTCACCGCTGACAAACAAAAGTTTGGTACTAATATTTTGTTAGCAATTGCACTAATTATTTATCAATGAAAAAAGTAAAATTAATTAATACTTTTATTAATTTAATCACCGGGACATCTGTCTACAGCCAGCGGCACACGATGCTATTTCGCCTACTGGATCACTTGCGAGAGCCCATCAGGATTTAGCCTTAAGTCAGCTGATATAAAACTCTGCATCCTTATTGGCTCTTGCAAGAACTCTGGCAAATAGTATCGTGTGCCGCTGGTTTTAGTTTTATCATTTCACGCGCCACATTCTCGCTTTACAACGTTTAAACGCTTTGATCGACGCCACCTCGTTCCACGACTTGTGTGCGGCTTGCTGCAGCGATCGCGAGAACGTGGATGCGTCAGAAAAGAGAAACTAAAGTATATAAATTTGTCCTTTTCCGCCTAGCCGCGAGCGTAAATTCGAAACGAGGCTGCAACGAAAAGCTGCTAAACGAACGAGCCTGCTAATAAACTCGCCGGAGACTGTTTGCGCAATACGTTGTCCTCGACACGGTGTGTCTCTTGCGCGGCGAGACACCGTGTGTACAACATACTTGCGCGGGACGAAACGCGCTAACTGCAGTTTGCAAAAGCGGTACGGACGCGCGTTGCTGCGTAACACGGTGCGCGCTCAGGGTCGCGATCGCTCGCGATCGCATGCTTACATTGTACTCGCGGCAATTTCGTAACGCCCAATCGAATCCGGAACGCGCTGTCTGCCGTAATTGTTCTAACGACGCATCGCTATGTCAATTGTGTCCGGCTATTGTGCGTTTTTGCGAACATCGTTTAACTCCGATCCGAGTTGAATTTATTCTTTGCTTCTTTCTAACTGTTCCCTTAAAACAGGGGACAAAAGATGATTCAGACCAACCAAAGGTAAACGACATTGGTGAAAACCAGGGTCAGCGCAATCCGTGGACTGGCGCGTTTTTCGTATCGTATACAGGGTGTTATGTAATACCCGCCTCACTTCTTATTTGCGAATAGAGCGGACTAAACTAAGTCGAAAAGCCCTCTACGAGTTCACGAGTTATTAATTAGTAAAAATACCGGTGTAAAGAAAACACACAATTGTTTAAAAAAAATCGCTACGATTTTGTAACAAGTAATAAAAAAAATTTTTTTTTAACAATTGTGTTTTCTTTACACCGGTTGATTTGTCTCATTATTCTGTTAAAAAAAGTATTAAGGTAAGATGATAAAAAAATGAATATTTTACAAGATATTTTGTAATTTATGTCAAAATATTGGAACTTTCAAACCTTAATAACTCAAAAAGTTTGTAATAAAAAAATACTTTATTATAGCGTTTTGGAAAGTTCTCGAGGTAAGCTATAAGAATATGCAATAAAAAAATAGGGGGTCCCGTTTAAAATTTTCAACCCCTCTTTCACCCCCGCGTCCCTGGGGAGGGGGGATGATCGGTATCCATGTCAAAAGATAGTTTTTTGGAAAAATCAAAATACGTGTTTTACCGTTTTTTGATATTTTCAGCTGTACAAAAATTATTTAGGGGTTTCCACACTTTTGACAAACCTTGTATAATTGATCACCAGACCCAGATGGCCTAAAATGGGCGTAGTTCTTTTCATGATAAACATTCTTTAAATCGCTGCAAAGAATTTCTTGCGAAAGAGTCATACTTTACGACATCCGTCAGCCTTTTAAAGTTGTCGCTATTTCCCGGAGAAACGCCCTGTATATTTCTCTTTTCGTGCCGACACTCGAGGATGCATTTTCAGAGTCCCGATGATCTCGATAAGCTGCCGACTTTTCGACAGTTCCTCACGGGCAAAAGATCGAGTTCTCTTTTGACCAGTCTACCCAGCCGTATCTACCTGAGTCACCTCCGCGCGTCTTTCCCACGATTTTCCCAGCTTTTCGACGAATTCTTGAGGGGCGACGATAGTTTCCGCGGAGGAACCGGAAACCGTGGCTAATTGCCGCACGTAGTTGCCCCGCACGACCGTGAAACGCGTCGTCTTATCGCGTCTCGACCTTTTTTTTTTCCCGTAGGAACACGTGAATCTCGTGGGAAGGGACGGTGAGAACGGCCCGGTCCTGGTCTCGGTGAAGGCCGAGACGGTCGCTGGGCAGGAGCACTGGAGGGTGTTGCTGCGACTCCGGGCGGGATCGACGCACGACCTGGTCCCCGCTGCGAATCTCACCTCGAGCCCGACGCCGACGAAAATGGTCAAGGTAAGGACGAGCATTCAGCTCGCGACAACAATTCTTTCCGGCCGGCAATCTAAACGTCACGCGATGTAACTGCGGATTGTAACGCCAAGGAGAGCGCGCACTTCTTGGAGAACGCGCGAGAGATTCTGAAGAATCTCGTTACAACGTTATTTGCTATGATGATTCAGAAAGGGACCTGCGCGGTCCTTGTGGAAATTGGACTTCGCAATGAATTCCTTTAATTTAGGAATTTGCCAGCCATTGGTCGCCATGCAATTTTCTACATTGTTTAATCAATTACTGGCGTTAAATAAGTCTTTATGTCTCCTATAGTCTCTCGGACACGATCCCGTTTACCAAATACGTCACAATTTTGAGACATTTGCAATCCACGTTGCAGAAACCGTATTTCAGTGTATTATAACTCCGATGTAACCTGTGTCAATTGTTATTAATTAGGTAGGAGGCATGATGTAAGAAGAAAGGTGTGTGCTACCGCGCACGACCAATCACAGACACTTCCAAAACGACGCCATATTGGGAAATATCAACCAATAGCATCAATGCCGTCATCTTCTTCATTATCTTCATCTTCCTCCTGAGATAATGGGCTTGTTTTCTGTTCCTGCACTGGTGAACTAGTGCAGTAAGCTAGAATGAGAAAAAATATACTTGTCTTACTCCAATTTATTGCACTAGTTCACCAGTGCAGGAACAGAAAACAAGCCCAATATAGCATAATTATCTACATCTCGCGCATTGATGCTATTGGTTGATACTTCCCAATATGGCGTCGCTTTGGAAGGCGCAGAAACAAACCAAAATTGGTTCACGGTGAGAGCACACCTTATCTTCTTACATCATGGTAGGAGGTAGGATGTAAAATTATCGTTACAAATATTTATTTGTTTACGTGTTTCGTAAAGTGTTTCGGCGCGTCGTGAGGTCAATCATGTGGGAGGTTCTTTCAGGTCGGACGCCGCGCTTCATTTTTTTTAAACCGCGACGCCGCGTAAGCCCGCAACTTGGTTTTCTTCGGGCCACTGGTGCGATTTATCATGCGCTGTTTGCGTATCGGATATGCCGCTTATACCGGGTGGCGCGCACGACACGGGCATACTCGATTACCTGTGTGTTTGAAGAGATAATAAGAAACGCCTGGGACAACAGTCGCGTTGTGTGTACGGAGAACTGATATTATATTAATACGAGCAAAATTGCAACGCGCGCTCACAGCCGCGGTTCTTCGAAGTTGTTTTAAAATCAAACAATTGCCCGCGTGCAATCGGATTTCTCGCTACGAGGAGCGAACGAACGACGACGGGGGATTCCCTTTATTAGCGCAACACGGCATCGTCGGGCCATTTGAATTATTAATTATAAAATGAGTTACGCAACACGATAGTATACTTTTTTTTACGCACTTCCACAAGAAAAAGTATCGGAAATAATTTTTAGCAGAGAATTCTCGAATTTATACGTAAATCTTCATCGAGCTAGATTAAAATCAAAGAATAAGGATTAATGGAAAGTTCCGCAGAGAGAATCGAGCAAAGTAAAATTGTTGTTATTCCTGTTATTTGCAAACGTATTGAAATCGACGCGAACGTATAATGATAACTTATAAAATGACTTCGTCATCCGTATCTTCCTCTTTTTACGCGTCCATGTTTCACGCCGTTTCTTATACCGGCTACAAAACATTTGTAGCCCGTGTAAAACTGCAGAAATATTGATGGGGGAAACTCGAGCACTTTCGGAAAAATGCATAAAACATTTCATAGAGCGAACTGTTAAAAAATCCGTTACCTTCGGGCGATGGAAATGCTATATCCGGCCTTGGGTCCTATATTCTACCGGTGTACTCCTATGCGCGCAAAAACGCATAAACGCGCTGAATAATTTAACGTGCCGCCGCATGTGTGCATGCTTTATCTCTCTTTCCTTCTCGGCTGTTACGTGCGCGATCGTCGTGGCAGGAGGAAGCGAGAGAGAGAGAGAGAGGGAGAAAGAAGGGGACAGAGAGAGAGAGAAAGATAAGGAGAGACCGTGCCCAGTGTGATAAAACAGGAAAGACCTTGCCTCGCGTTTTCGTAATCGTATGTCGATCACTCGTTCGCTCATGTTCTCATCGAGGAATGTTTCTCTTGCAGGCGATCAACGAAACTTTAAGCGTGAGTCCCCTGATGCCGGTCATGTGCCCCGGCGCCGGTACCTTGGTAGCCCGATACGACGAGCACGCCCTGGTCTCCAGGTTCAAGTTTGGCGTTCTCCACCAGCGAGCCAGTCAGCTCACCGAGGAGCAGCTATTCGGCAATCGGCAGATCACACCAGCCTTCCAGGAGTTCCTCGATCTGCTTGGTCAGAAGATCGACCTCAAGGATCACAAGGGGTAGGGTTTCTTTAACCCTTTTTTTCCCCACACAGTGCCGCCCCAATGTCTCTTTCGCAGGTTTTCGCGGTTCTTACGCATTTCAAACCTTTGCGTTCCCGCACGCAAATTGTTAATTTTTCGAAATAATCCTAGAGAGAGTTGAAAACTGCACCAACAGATTCAAACCTTGCAAGATATTTAATCCCATCGCTATATTCCTAAGGCATATAACAATAAATTACAAAGACACAATTTTATATTCATATAAAATTGTAAAAGAAATGAGAAACCGGTGAGAAAATTGTTGAAAATTGCCTATTCTTAATTTTTTTACCTCTCCTCTCTCGTTTCTTTTCGATGCTACTTTCCAATTTGCTGGACTAATTGCAGTTATCGCGGTGGATTGGATACTCGACACGGCCAGACCGGCGACTCGGCGGTGTATGAGGTGTTCCGGGGCCGGGAGGTATTGTTCCACGTTGCCTCGTTGCTACCGTACAGCCCGGGCGATTCGCAGCAGCTGCAGCGCAAACGGCACATCGGCAACGACATCGTTGCCATCATATTTCAGGAGGAACCGACGCCCTTCAGCCCGGACATGATCGCCAGCCACTTCTTGCACGCCTTCATCGTCGTGCAAGTCATCGACCCCTGCACTCCTAATACGAGGTGTATATTCTTAGATTCTTGGTTGCTTTCCGTTTATACGCTGCTTGCTCCACAAGGCCGAAACTTGGCGAACGGTCCATTATCGAAATGCTTATCTAAATGTCTCTCACGTCGATCGTGAAAACTGTTGCTTTTGTGTTGGAATAATCGGTGTCGGTTAACAGCGGCGTTGTATTTTAAGGTACAAAGTTAGTGTGACGGCGCGCGATGACGTTCCCTGGTTCGGACCGACTCTACCGACGCCGGCAGTCTTTCTCAGAGGCGTCGAATTTAAAGAGTTCCTGCTCACGAAACTCGTGAACGCCGAGAACGCCGCTTACAAAGCCGAGAAATTCTCCAAGCTGGAGGTGAGTCCCTTTGTCCATCCGCTTCCGTCGAGAGTGAGAGAACTCGGAAAAGTATTCTCGCGTAATTAATCCGATGGCTCGCTATCGTGATAATTTCTGAAAAGGACTACGCGAGAAGACTGTGGCAACGGCTAAATTAACCGCACGATTTTCAGTTGCGGACTAGATCGGCCTTGTTAGAATCTCTGACGGAAGAACTGCAGACCAAAACGGTAGAATTTCTTGGTGGTCCGCTCGGCCTGGGAAATTCCGGCTTGACCATTTGCCCGGTGAGCCCAACGACGAACGACGTGTCCACTTCAGGAAGTAGTGGCAGTGGCTCGCGGTTTATCGATACGGTGCGCAAAGCGTTGAGCTCCCGCGTGAGGAACGCGTCAACGGAAAGCGTACCGCAGCAGCTAGCCAAGAAGGGTCAACAGACGGAGTCCAGTCCTCCGAGCAATCGACAGTCGACTGTCACAAAGGTAAGTAAATGAAAAGAAATGAGTATTTGTTACTTGTATAATAAAGTCCTCTCAATAATTATTACATTGTGACTACGTGAAAGAAGTGGGCAGCACAATCGCGTGATAAAAATGTACAGAATACAAAGTAGAGTGCAAATTTAATTGCAAGATTAAAATATAAATGTGAGGAAATAAATTGGTAACTTCAACTGTGTCAAGGTGAGCGGCAGCAAGCGTTCAGTGGAACCGTCCAGTCCCCTCGGCTCGCCGGATCTGACCCTGAGGAGAGACTCGGAGCGCGGTAGTCTCGGCAGCCAGGACAGCAGCCTATCCAACACCGACAATCAAGATAGCAGTCTGACGACGTTGCAGCAGGACGAATATGATCGCAGGGAATCGCAGGGTACGAGTGCCGTCTGCCTCGACAGCGATGCCACTGTCGTCGACAAGGTCCCGGCGCCGACGTCGGCAACGGTACAGCGACTGACGCACGAAAATCTGCGCACACAGGAGAAAACAACGACAGAAGTGACGCAGAGAGTGATCTCGGAGAGTGACGACAGCTCGCTTAACAGCGAGCTCGAGCTCGATCAGGCCGTGTATCCCGACAGCGACACGGGTCTCGAATCGATGAGCTCCGCGGAGACTCACGATGCCACGAGGTGTACGAGTAAAGACGGGGTTGTGGAAAACGAAAACCTCAGGATGGAGGTCACTAGGCTCAAGTGCGACAAGCTGGATCTGTTGCGACAGAATGTGGTGAGTGAAAGATAAATCAAATTGTAACTTTTTTCCCTCAAGTTCCAAAGACGAAGAAATGATATCGAACTTTAATCGCAGACATGCCAACGTGAACTGAAACGTCGTCGAGAGAAGGAGCTGCAGTTGGAGTCTGATTTGGCGGCGGCGTCCAAGGAAATTCTGCGACTACGTGCAATGCTAAAGGAATGCTCCACGAGCATTCCGCTGGATAACAATAACCAGCAGACGTCCACCGTGTGAAGTTTGCGAGCGCGACGTGTAGTCTTAGGCGCGATTATGAGTTGCTCTCGCGAGATATTAGATAGTACGACCTTTGCGGTCGAATACAATTGCATGTGCTGTAGAAAGGAAATTATCTCGAAAAACGTGCATAGTAAATTTCCTTCGTCTTTACTAGAAATTTGTCTCGCAACTCACACGGCTTCCGCACACACGCTGATTCTTTCCCGTTACATCACTTTCGCTCATAGTTTGATATCGAGTTTACCGAGAGATACGCGAAATATGATGATGAGGATGAACTAAAGAACAGAGACGTAAAATGAAGTGTTGCGACGGCTTTTAAACGCTTGACGAGTACTCATACTTAAACACTATGTACCTTCCGTTCACCAGGAATCATTCATTACTTCCAAAGGTCTATCATTAGTGCTCCGTAAGAGCACATAGAGTTTGCAAGATGCTTTACCGTGATTAATCATCCAAGCCGAGTTTTCTTTTTCTAGGTAGAGAATACAAGTTCTATAAGTCATATACGAGATAATAGAATTAACACGAATCTGTGAAACTGTGTATAGTGGCCGAAGTATCGCTAAGATACTTGCAGTATAGATTCAAGATTGTTAGACTTCTTGTTTGACTTATAAAACACGTGTAATATTTATCTATTAATTTATTAGTAGACTTAAGCTGACCATTTGTAGTCAATATACATACGTGGATACAAAAAGAAGCAGTAGGGGTATCTGTAATATTAGCTATTTTAAGAGGCGGATTCAGCATTTGACATTAAGGAGAAACAAAAATTGTCACGATGCGCCGCAACAAAAACGTCGTGTCTATCTATTGAAGCTTATACATAGCTCCCGTTTATTCTTCCGTAGCGCGGATTATCCGGTTATTTGGGCACAATTGGGCAAAGAACTTCTTCCATGTTAGATGCGATCTTACATAGTCGGGAGACATTTTGTTACGCGCGATTGTAGACAAAAATATGTACCGCTAGCTACAGTATTTGTCACACGATAGACTTTACCCGACACTCTTACCTGTTTATTAGTTCCCTAGTATTAGATACCAGAGAATAGTGTTTAGATACTTCTACGAGGTTTAATTGTCTCCGAAACACCATCCTCGCGTGCTAGTTTTTAGCGAAAGACCGATCTTTATTTTGTTTTTAATAAATCGCGCACAGCACCAAATTATTTAAGTAAACATCACGTGTCTCCACAAAGTATCGTTACTCCCCTTTCGCACGTGCTAACGAGAGATGCGTTCACCGTTCACCGTTCACCGTTTAAAGTTAAGTATTTTGTATTCGTTCTTGATTGGCAGATGTCGATCTTTTTGTTATCTCTTATGGCTAGTATTAATACCATTCTTACCATTATTATTATCAGCCTTACGATTATTATTAATACTTTTATTAACAGTACGTTATACTTTGTATGATCTTTGTAAATAATCGTTAATATAGGGCGAACACTCGAAGGCGCTAAGCGAACTGGCACAAAGAGGAGGAACAGTGACGTTCACTCACACATAATACCAAAGTTTAATGTAGTAAAATTCATAACTTTTCTTTTCTTTTTTTTTACTTTCCTCAGTCCCCTTGTTTTCCCGTTTTCCATTATTTTTACAGGTCGAAAAGAGATTGCGAGTTCCGTTGTGTCAGAGATTTTCGTCGAAAGAGGAAATAGAAGCTACTCATTTTCGCAGCTATTTTGATGAAACATCACATTTATCACTGCCTATGCGATGTCGCCTCGACATTTCTCTTTCGAGAACACGTAAAGTCTGTTCTACTGCTTATATAACGTGATTGATTGTACCAACAACACTTTATATACTAGTGAAAAATACCACGACCGGTATACTGCTACTGTAGTATTGATAACTTAAATCTTGATCTTTCTCTTGCAAGGGCAAAATTATTTCTACCGAAAAGAAGAAAAATCACATGAAAAAGGCGAATTTTTTCTTAAATTTGATAAAAATCATGTAGTTGAATACGCTAAAGTCGCAGTATTTCGGACTTGTGTTACACTAAAACTAGTATCTTTCGATCTCTTATAATACTGGAGGATTGGATGGGAATTATACTTTCCAAATCTATTGACTTATACTTTTGCATTATCTATAAATTGATTGGAGCGATGGCTAGCACACGTCGGCACTATTTAAGCAAGCTTTTGTACGTGTCATTGTACAAAGTTTTAAAGGCTTGTGGGGACGATTTTTTTTAGTAACGAGAGATATTCCAGAAAGAGGAAAGATATGTATATATCTTTATTATTTTGAACACATTAAAAATTATTTCGCGAGGAAGAAAGATATACGAATTATTCTAAACGCGTCAAAATTATTTCGGGAAGAGGAAAGATATACGAATTATTCTAAATACGTTAAAATGATTCTAGAAGGAGGAGAAATATACGAGTTGTTCTAGATACATTTATAAATTGAAAACAATGTACAAAATTGAGATTTCTGAAGTAATGACGGACTGTTTTCGTTGACCGTTAATGTTGTGTCTGATAGAGATCTGCGATAGTGAGAAAGTTAAATATTTATATCCGTGATTCAATTGGACCCGAGGGAGATAATTGATCCGAAATGAGCGAGCGATAAAACAAATGAATTGGAAAAACCGACGTGTTTAATAAAGCCAACGGCGCACAATATTTTTCCCACTGAATTTCTTGCAAGAGTCCATGAGGATGCAGAGCTTTAGATCAGGCGACTTAAAGTTGAATCCTAATTGGCTTTCGCAAGCAATCCAGTAGGAAAAATAGTATCGTGCGTCATTGGCTTAAATCCGAACACCGGCACACACATTACTATATATTGGCTGCTTTCCTTTTAGAGAACACAGTCGACATTTTTTACACAAATCGACATATGTCGCTTCCCACTTAGAATTTAATTCAAACTCAATCGACACTTTTCGACTCTGCTCGGGAGGAGGAGTCGGAGTGGGTTTTCGACCGAAGGACGCATCGGCTCACGGTATTTCGATAGAATCTTTTTGTCGACAGAACCTTTTTTTAAAATCTTGTTATTTAAATCTTTGCCATTTCACAGTGGCAAACTGTGCTCGAGTATGTTACCTTGTGTCGATTTGCATCTCCTGAAAGGAAAGCAGCCATTGTCAGAGAAGTGATTACACTGTTTATTAAGAAGTGACTTTTTTTCGAGCACAAAACGAGGGTAATCCTTCTGAAAACTGTAAGAAGCGATCACCATCGGTCTCATGCATTTTTGTTTTCGTTGAACAGTGTTATCGTTACGGAATATTTAAATATTTTCGGAAACGTCTTGTATACTACCTATACATATATCTATAAGAGATATCTATAGAAAATTTATATTACGATTTAATACTCGCGAAGAAGTTAATTGAATCTCCTTTTAATTTTTACCAATGTACATAACGACGAGAATTGCGTTCGATCACGGAGATCGTCGTTCGATCGAAGACTAAGTTTTACCACTGTCTAGTGTGATTTCTATGCTGGCCTTGCGAAAAGTCAAAGAAAGATTATCTATATTATAGAGAGATATTCATTATTATATATATTACCAAGGACAAGAAAACGGACTGAGAAGTAGGAAAGGGGAAAGGATAGAAAATATTACAACAGATATATATCTATATAAATATATTTTGTATCTAATATTAATCACCCATTTCTACAACTAACTCGAATACTTCACTCTTAAAAAACTTTGTATGTATACAGGGTGTCTCAAATTTCCTGTGTGATAATCCTGATAAAAATTATTTTCTAAAACTACTGTGAAACGATGAAAAGTTAACTGAAAGTTATTGAAGAAAATATTAATTTTTTTTAATTGTGAAATGTCTTAAAAAATGTGTAATTTTAGGAACATATTTTTTTTTAATTCATCATCTCTATATGGTATGTTAAAGTCTGAACGAGAACAGGTTCTTCGCGAACGGTTCCAAAAAACATCTCTTCTGGGTCTTAATTGAAGATAAAAACTAGAAATCTCTTGAATAAAACTAGTCTTTACCGTCTTTAGTCGATGATTTTAATATAAATTAAAAAAATTAAAAACATGCCTCGGTAGTCGAATTGGTGGAGACGCCCGCCTAAGTGAGTGAGAGGTTCAAACCCTGGCTGAGGTAATATTTTTCGCAATAAATTTTCTGTATTACAAAAATTGCCAGATACGGTCAGTAGAAATCACTGATGTTTTTAAAATAACTTCAAAAGTATACTGTTAACGATTGTCGCGGGAGATTTGAGATATTCTACTTACAAACAATATTTCCTACGACGATGTGGAACACATTAGGCGTTCGATCTTTTCAATTTCACTATTAGGTGAAAAATAATTGCGAGTATTTGTAAAGGATGTTTACTGAGCTGTCTCAGGACTCTCAGGCCTGGTCTACAATGAGTTAAATCAGTTATTAGTCGGAATTATATGTCGGTCCTTTCTCTTTTTGGACTAACATATAGTTCTGACTAATAACTGATTTAACTCATTGTAGACCAGACCTTAGAGTAAACACATTATCGATAAACACAATGCGTTCATGCTTTCGAGAACGTAAGTAACGGTCTAAAAGAAAATACAATCCGTGTTTGTCGTATCACAAGTCACAACCCGTGAAACAAATGAACGTGTATGTAGACATAGGTGTACGTGGAAAATTCTTAGCGAAATTCTTCGACACAGATTAGTTATTGTCGCCTACACCGAGTTGGGATTCTGGCTTCGCGAGCGATTCGAAGCAGCATACCGTACCGGGAAATCGAATTGTTTGTATCGATATCACAGAATCGCTACTGTTGCCGAACATCTGGCGCAAAATGCTGGAATGATATGACTCAGAGTCCGCAAGCTATTATTGCATAATATATCCAAAGGTAATATTTGGCAATGAATAATTCTTTAAAGCACGATTAGAGCATAACACTATAAGGGAACCATGCACCAAATAGATGTTACTACAAAACCCAGCGAGAAGAGACTCAATCGATGTCGAATCGACAACGTTTCGATATCGATCGACAAATCATTTCTCACTGGGAATATGTGACAATTAGGAAAGTTCCAGTGCAACTCTACTCTCGGAAATATCTCGAATCCGATCGCAATGAAGCTCCTTATACGCAGAAAATTGTAAGCGTACGATGTGTATAATGTATTCGGTCACCTACGACGTCAATATCTAAGCGATCTTGGAAAATGCAAAAAGCTCTGATTATTGGACTAGTCTGTGTATATAAGCATATGTATTATATATACAAAGAAAGAAGAAAATAAAGAAGACATGCAAAGCAACAGATAACCGATTATCGGTTTTTTGAAAGTGACATAAAAAATTATAATAGGCTTTAATTTTATAAAAACATTTTAAATTTTCAGGAACTGAATAAATATATAGAATTAAAAATATCAGGATTGGGAAAGTTACTTTATGAAAGTAACTCGTTGTCTTTACTAAAAGACTAATGAGTCGTTGCTATTTTCGTTACTTTTATCTTGACATTAGTACAATTAAATACAAGTTTCTGCGGTAAACATAAGCAGAAGATATAAGTAAAATTATATCCTCTAGTAAAAGAATAAGGATAATTTTCTTACCAAATTTTACCAAAATGATTTATTAAATTTATAGTTGAATCTGCCTCATCTTTTATATGAAAAAAAAAAGTAGGTTTATTTTATCTTTAACAATCTGCAATTAATATTGTAGCATTACTTACTTTCATATCATCTATACTACTATTCGTAAATAAGCGCTTATTTCCAAGAGACTCTAACAAACTTTCTAACTGATAAGCTCTTTTGCAAACGTCTGCATTTTTGGACAAGAATCTTCCTCTTCTGTCTAATATGTACAGTTGAGCGGACAAATGTATTCCACGCCTCATCAGATGTGAAGTTGCTTCTTGTAAAAGCTGCGACCTCGTTATTTGGGAGGTCCAAGCAAATTCTTTTACGTAGTATATTTTTATCATAGACACCTAATTGTCTATAATTACAAGATTTTATGGATAAAATTGAGAGGGCAGAGGTAGCTAGAAATACATACACATTACTAATTTACCTTTTTCTAATAGTAGTAGTACTCGGGCCGTTTTGGTCGTTAAATTTACTTGGGAAAGTACAGGGCTAAACGAAATATACTTCAATTAATTGCATTGAATTGACGTATGATAAATTATTTTTACATCTATATGTACCTTTTCATCGATACAGCTGTAACTCGTGTGGTTTTTTGTAGCTATGCTTCCATCATCTGGATTGGAATTACTAATATCCACATCACTTTTGATAGAAGTTTGCGAGCTATTATTACCAATAATTGCATTTGTATCGCAGGAATGCTGTTCATGAAACACTATGTCTAAATGGGTCTTGCCTTTGTAATGTTCACTTATCTGCTCGTTCATTTCTCTGCGTACTGGATTGCTTCTAAAAGAAATACAAGAAAAATATGAAATATATAAATGGACCACATGGATTCCGAGCAGATAGGTTGATATTTACCTATTCTGCTTGCAAGGTATTGCACTTGGCAGCAGACGTTTTCGTTCTCTAGTGTAACGATTGAAGTCATCTTGAGAAAAATGATCACTACAAATACGAGCAGAATACTTGACAACTTTACCAATTGCGTCAAACCATTTTTGCTTCAGGTCTGGATTTTTAGGAAAGCTGAAAAATAACATGTATTCTTGAGTACTTTGAAGAAAATATTTTTGAATCGTTTAAACGCACATCTTGTTAACAATTTATATGCATTTAATGCTTTATGGCCAGAAAAATTTACCTGTGAAATGTGCGACTTTCGTTGTGATTGTATTCTTTTCCGCAGACACAACACGTATTAACCATTTTATTTGTGGTAATTGTTCAATATAGCTTCAGCACCTGAAAAATTCACAAAATTAGTCTCATTCGACGCGTCTTTGAACGAGAAACAACTTTTCCTCGGGCAAATTCGACGCTGTGTCTCGCGAAGCGAGATATTATTTGTTAAAGTTGATAACTTTTAGGGTTAGGAAATTTGTTATACCGATGAAATGTAGCGACCAAGAGGACTAGAGACCAAGGAGACTCAACCAAGGTGTGTCAACAATTGTGACAATTCGAACGCCATTTGTGTCGCGCCGTGTGCACGGAAGTGTCTAGGAATATTGCAATTGGAAAGCACCC